CAAAAAAAACCAATTCGATCATGGATTACAAAAAAATCAATCAAGTATTACAAAAAAATCTATCATGGATTACAACAAAAAAAAAAAAAAAATCCGTACGGGACTCGCCGATTCACTGTACGGGATCGCCGATTCCGTACAGTGAATCGGCGAGTCACTGTGCAGAATCGTCTGATTCTCTCTTGAACCGGACGATTCCCGTTTTTTTCACCGATTGGATCCGTCCATGGCGATTCCCGAGTCGAACTGGGCGAGTCCGGTTCGACTCGGCGTTTTTTTAAACACTGGTATTTTCTGTTAAAATTATCTACCAAAACAAAAATAAAAGAGTTGAAAAAATGATTTATCCTCCATAAATGATGTTGGTTTGCATTGAGCACTAAGAATAATAATATTCTTTTAATGTTTAATTTTAAAATTTTAATTTCCTTGAATTTTTTGACTTTCTCTGTAAAAATGTGTAATGCCTTCTTGGTTAGACACACTCTTTACGAGAAATAAAAATAACTGAGATTTTGCCCCAAATTGAAGATTTCATTAGAAACTTAGAGAAAACTAAGTGAATAAGAGGGGGTTAAAGAGCCCTTTTGTCTTGGTTTAATTTGGAAATGTCAATGTAGGGCGATGCAATGCCATCATAGAAGTGTCTAATATGTATCCCTTGGGTTTTGAATATAGAGAAAAAGAGGAGAGAGGACTTTTCATGTGGTGTAGCTCATAATGATAAAGTTGGGCCTAAGTAGGGGTGGTAATGGGCTGGGGCCGGGACCTGGTCAGGGCCAAACCTAACCTGGCTTATTTGCTCGAGAGGGTTGCCCCTATTACCAACCACATCCCATTAAAATGCATAACGAAAGGCATTTTTTAGGACCTTGTTTCTATGCGGCCAAGCCTGCATATGTAAAAATGCGACCTCTTAATAAATTTATTTTTAAGATGGATTTTAAGATTTAATTTTTAAGATATGTAATATCTAACATGGAGATCATGGATATGAATAAATAAATAAATTTTAAAACCTCAAAATAATAATCCTAGCAAGAAATCATTTGAACTGTTAGTTTCCATTGTTTTTAGATGGAACGCCTACTTGCATCCATCTTTAAGATGGATGCTTTACACATTCTGGACCGCATATATAAAAATACAGTCCAACCCGCATGAAACAATTTTCTATTAGTAAATCTTGTCATTCTTAGTTCACTATTTAGCAAGTAATCCTGATTCATATTAGCAATAAAACCAAGCATCATTCATTCATGACTCACAAGCAAGAAAAAAAAAAATTGGGGGCTTTTGCAATTTGATTTAAAGGTTTTCTTACTACAATTACCAATTAATGCATGTGCAGCTACAAGCAAATGGGTAGGGTTTCTATAAGGTTACAACATTAAACAATCCAATTAAAGCGTACCTCTAAATTTTATCATAACATGTAATTTTAGTGTAAAAAATTCTTAAGATTATCTAAAAATCTATTTTTATATCTAATTATAAATTTTTAAACTCCAAATATAGTTAAAATCAAGTAGATCTATAAATATGTGAAAATCTTGAAATTGGACGATCTAGATAATGTGTTGCAAGATATACTATTTTTGAGACTCAAATTTTTTTTTTTTCATACTCATACATCTCATTATCGAGATGATCAATTAGAAGGTTTTTTAATATTAAAACAACTTTTTCAGATGGATTTTGAGATGCATCTTTAATTCTACATTTTAAGGTTGCAACCTTATATATAAACTTTTTTCTAAACAAATTTCATCAAACTTTTCGCCATTGATAAGAGGGAACGAGTAAAAGTCAATGCGGCTTTACCTAGGCCCTGTTTGATAAGTTTTTTTTACCATTTCACCAAGAATATTTGACAATACTTAGAATTTTGGAAACATAAAGAAAGTTAGTGCAATCACTTTCCTTAGTTTGATGATTTAGTTAAAAAATTAGAGCAATCAATTTCTCTTGTTTGAGAATATCACTGAAAAATTGGTGCAGTCAGTTTCATATGGGAAACTATCAAATTGATCATAATAGTCTCTAATATGGAGAGAATCTAGAGGAAGACACTCTTAGAGAAAGGGTCTAGGGAAAGAAAGGCCCTTGGAAGAGAGATAAAAAAGGGGCCTAGAAAGTAAGAGGTAAGGTTTGGGGGAGATAGAGTAGATTCTAGAGAGATAGGGTTTAGGGGACATAGAGCAAACTTGTGAAGAGAGAGAGGGGTTAATGAAAGCTCACCCTAAGGTCTACAAAAAAAAAATAGTAGACCTAAAGGTTAGTGAGGTTTCATTTCTATTAAATAACTCAAATGTATCAAAAAAAATAATACGAAGTTTGCAAGCTTTAAAATTTAGACCATAAAAACGAACTCAAATTTTTACCCTTTTTAAAATGATGATCATTAAATGCTTATTTAATGAGGGAATTTTCCGCTAGTTCCCCACTATGGGAAAGTATAGTCTCCAACTTTTCTATTTGTGGGGAAGAACAGGAAATAGGGTGAGAAGTTTTTTGGGCAATTTTTACCTGAACAATAGATGACAATTACCCAAATATTTGAAAAGGTGGGAAAATCATGATTTTTTACTACTTTTTACTGATATCAAACCTGGCCTTAGAGAAAGCGAAACCTTTTGTTAGGGGGGGGGGGGGGAATTGTGTAATGCAAGGGTATCCATTGCTGTTCACTATAGGTTAAGATTTAACGAAAGCAAAGCTGCGAAAGCAATGTTGTAAGATTCGCCTCGCAGCTTTCCTTCGGCCATAGCTTTCGGATTTTAGGCATGAACCGAAGCAAAGTGAAGCCTAGTGTTGCTACTTTGATTATATTTAGGCTCTTTCAGTCAGCTTTGGCCTAATTTAGCCGAAGATTTGACCCTTTTGGCTGAAGCTTTGGCTGAAACAAAGAAATATCTGTATAAAAGTATTTTTTATTTTTTTTGAAATTTTTATTTTTTATTTTTCTATATAAATATAAAAACAGGTCTGCAGTTTGTCCCGATTCGGCCAAAGTACCAAATTTCTTCATTTTTCTCATTAGACCAAAAAAGACTCCGAAGCGAATATGAGAACATTGAATGAAAGATTATCGTTCTAGCACTAGGATTTGATGCCCTCGCCACAACTTACCGCAAGCCTTTGCTTTTAAGGGCTGGTCTCGCTGGGCAACCCGGCCCATTTGCCTCCTAAGGCTAACCCAAGCATGTTAATAAAATAGGTATTTTTCATTTCTCTCCATGATTATAAGCTTTGGGGCTCCTGAGGTATTCCACAATTTGAAAGACCAAAAAAGCACCTGTTTTGAAATTTGGAAGAAACACCGCACTTTTTGAATAAATTTTGACAGGCAGTGTCTATAAATAGACTATTTATCATTTGTACGACAATTATTCTTGTCATTTAAATTTTTAAAATAGTTGATTGTAAGAGTATCATTAATTAGAGTATTAGACATAAAATTTCACAAAAAAAATTCTCGATTTTTGTGACTTACCCCAAGCCCTTCAATTGATATCTAATAAGTGTGAATAGTTGTTTCTGTTGGAAAAATAAGTAAAAAAAGGTAAATAGTGCCTTTATAGGCTATCCCATTAAAAAAAAGATGAAGTTTCTATAGGGCCTAGGTTTTATAAAAACAAAATAAACCCTCACTTCAAATCTTGATTTGGAAAACACTTTATGCATCAGAAATCCTTATGATTGCTGTAAAATCAATTTCTAACACCAATAATAAAATTTGAAATTAAAAAATGATACAAATCTTGCGGATATGTGAACACTTATTTTTAGAGTGTAATGGATGGTCTAGATGATTTATTCCAATATATATTATTTTTAGAACTTGAAATCCTAATTTTTTTCACAACTATAATGATTAAGCTGAGATGATTGATGTATAGGTTTTCAACATTTGAATTGTAATTTTTGATGATTTATGAGGTGATGTTTTATTTATTTTATTTGGATAGGGTTGCAACCTATCAAACCATTTGCCTTGAAAAAAAGAAGCATATGGTAATAGGAACTTTGAAAATAAAAGATACTAATAAGGGTTCAAGGCATTTAAATTTGGGTTTTTTTTTTTTTTTGGGTAATACAGTGGGGAAGACAAGACCCTATGATTCAATGGAGAAGACATGACCCTAGCTGTTTTTTCAAGTAGATTGGGAGTTAGCATTTTGAAGGTATTAGTGGTGGGAATGAAAACTACAATGTGGTAACTAGAGTGTGAGGTGCATAATGTTGCAAGCTTAAACAATCCAATTAAGATGCACTTTTAAATTTTATCATAACTATAGTTTTGATATTACAAATTCTTAGGATGACATCTCTAATTATAAACCTTTAAACTTTAAAAATGGTTCAAATCAAGTAGATCTAAAAACACATAATTTTTTTGAAAATAGATGGTCTAGATAATGCGGTACAAGATACAATATTCCATAAACTTGAAATTTTTTTTTTTTTTCATATTTATACACGTCGATATCAGGATGATTAATTTAAGGGTTGGAAAACATCCAAACAACCTTTTATGATCAAATTTTTTAGGTGCATGTTTGATTACAGTTTTAAGTAGCAAGCTAGTATGAACTTTTTCCTTTGAATTTGGCCGTAAAAGTAGGTGATGAAGCGACAAAGAGGTGAACCTCCCCGTTCAATAAATCCACGTAACAGTAAGACACTTGCCTATACAAGTGTGCCCTTTGTGTGGACCCCTTCTCCACATAACAGTAAGGCGCATTCTTACCGTCTATTTACAATATCGACGGCCTTGATATGATATAGCGGGGTAGGAAAATCGTTGACGTCTCTCTCTCACGCGCTCTGCGACTTTAGGTCTGTGATTTTGCTGACTCCATTCGAAACCGCTTCGGACCCCCTCTCTCTCTCTTAAAAAAAACCCATATGTAGACGCCTTCTTATGTATCACCAAAAATCCTACAAACTGGAGACCTCTTCTTTTCCTTTCTCTCTCTAAAAGGTCCAGAAGAAAAAAGAATTTCTCCTGTCACCATGCCTGGTATGTCGAGATCTTCGGCTTCATTTATATGCTTTCAAATTTTTCTTTTTTTTTGAATTCTTACAATTTTATGAATTTTTTTGTTGAATATGTTCGAATAGTTGGGAGAATGATTCCTTGTTAGATAGTTACAGTGATCGTTATTACCTGCAACTAATTTGTAATGAGTTTTTATGCGATCAAAGTTGAGTTACAGAGTGCTCTGGTTAGGGTTTGAAACTGTGGAGTTTAATGTCTTGGAGCCCCAAAATATTGAGATGGAAACTTGTATAGCTTGTGGAAATGGAGGGCATGGAGGTCCTGATGCATTTGCACATGAAATGTATTGAATTTTTTGCTAAAAGAGTCAATTTTATAAACTCACGGTTTAAGAAATGTGAGTTACTCTAATTGTTAATTGGATTTCTGGTACAACACTTGAAAGCTTTTTGATACCTTCATGTGGTCTTCTCTGCAAAATTTGAGTCCATGTTCAGCTAATCAATGATCTGTCATCCTTATAACTTTTCAAGTATTGTTGATACCCTCAGTAAGAACCTAAATCAACATAAATATAATATCTAACTGCAAGGCCATAGCTTTGGCAGCTACCACCAAACTCTTGATACTGGTACTTCTGTTTAATTGTAAGGATAAATACCGACTCTTAGTCCCAACTATTCTCAATGAAATATAGCTTCATCATTGTTTTAAACTCTATGCAAATTCCATTTGATATAGAGTTCTGTATAAAATCTGGTAATCACTAGCAAAAGCACTTGAAGCTGCCGACACTACTGTTTATTTGGTAACTGATACCTCTTCTGCATTTTTGCATTTTTTTCAACTTTTGAGTTTACCTAATTGTAGTTTTCATAGTTTTCTTGTCCCTTCACAGCCAACTAGCTAAGTGTAGTTCTTACTTGTTTGCACTGGCCTTTCAAAGTGTTCCCCATGATGTCATTTCTTTGCCGTATGACCCAATTACTACCACATTGTCTTGTAGTCGTTTTATGTCTTCTTAATTCTCAATTGGAAAAGAGTACCAACAGTGATAATAGTTTCTCTTGTAATCTTCAATTTCTAACTTCGCAAAGAGCGCCATGAACCTTAATGGTGGGAGCCTTTCTGATCCTTTTTGTTGAGTCCATTGGTTTTGGAGGCCACATGCTCAGGGAACTACATGAAAAATTATCAAGATTTTCCATTGATATGACCCCATCAAGATCAAGTAAAGATATGGGGACTTATATCGTTGCTGAGGGTATAGTCCTTGATAGAGCAGAACAGTGGACTAGAATTCCTATAGCCAACCCCAAGTAGTTGGGAAAAGGCTATGATGATGATGATTTGACCCCATCATAATGTGATGAATCAAGATTGGGAGTGAAGATATGAACATCAATCTCAAGGAATGTAATTCCGATTTTTCTTTTTTATCGAGTGATGAGCTCAGTGATTCAAAAAGTGAACCGTCTAGCGCCTAAGCGGTCCGAAAGGCCTGGGCGCATCGCCCAGGTCTAGGCAGCTAATTTTGGCGGTCGACCCTGGGCGGCTGCCTAGGGTCTGTGCCCGGCCCAAAGGCAAATTTTTTTTTTCTTTTTTTTTGTTTTGATTTTTTGTAAAGATATAAAAAGTTAGACGGAGGGGTTTTAGCTTCATTTGAAACCTAAACCCACAAGAACCCTATTTAGAGAGAAAGAAACTTCCAGAAAACTACATTTCATTAGATCGAAGTGTTTTTCAAAGTTTAGAGTTCGAGCAATCAAAGTAAGTGCAAAAGTTTATTTTTTAGATTGCTTGTTTTATTTTGAGATATCTTATTCAGGAGTTAGTCGGAGTGGAGATCTGGGTTGGCAATATGGATACAACCCGAATCCAAATGAGAAAAATTATGTTAGATGCAATTTTTGTGAAAAAGATATGAAAAGAGGCATAAACCGGTTTAAGAAACATCATGCCGGTATTAAGGGGGATGTTGCCCCTTGTAAAAATATTCCTGAAGCTATCAGAGAGGAGATTGAGTAATATGTAAGTTATGTAAAACAAAAATAAAGAACAAAATCCTTGTCATAGATCTATTTCTGCTACTTCTAGAAGAAGTGATCCGGGTTGGAAGTATGGGTACAACCCAAAACCAAATGATAAAAATTGTATAAGGTGTAATTTTTGTGAAAAAGATATCAATGGGGGTATTAGCCGATTCAAAAAACACCTTGATGATGTTAGAGTTAATGTTGCTTCTTGTATAAAGGTTCTTAAACCAGTTTCGGGATGAGATTGGACATCTTCTGAATTTAGAAGAACTAGAAAATGATGAAAATAAGCCTTGTTCTATGGAGGTCATTTTCTCCAAGATCTTCCAGAAGTGGTGATCCGGGTTGGAAGTATGGTTATAACCCGAATCCAAATGATAAAAATCGTATTAAATGTAATTATTGTGGAAAGGATATTAATGGGGGTATTTACCAGTTTAAAAAACACTTTGCCGGTATTAATGGGGATGTTGCCCCGTGTAAAAATGTTCTTGAGGCTACCAGGGAGAAAATTATACAATATTTGAGTTCAGAGAAGCACAAAGAAAATGGTATAGTAGTCAAGACTCCTTGGCCTCATCTGCACAGACTGCACATACTAGTAAGAGGAAGGTAGAAGAAGAGGAGGAGGAAGAGGCAGATTCAGAAGAAACAGAGGAGGATGAGTGTTATATTGAAGAAGGAGATGACTCTGATGATGATGGCCTCGACTCTGATGTATATGATGAGGCTTGTCCTATTGATATTCCTTCTGATGATGATGATGACGATGACTGAAGACTCTTGCCTCTTGGTACTGAGTGTTGAATGTTGACTTTTGTATTCTAGACTGTATATTTTTAAAATTTATGTATATTTCTGTTGTGTTGAGTGTTGACTTTTGTATCCTACACTTATATGGTTTTACAGTTTACTGTTTTAACATTATGGATTATCAAAATTCTCTTCTCGACTTCTATCTTTTTTTTTTTTCCAACTTGGAATATGGTATGTTTTTTTCAACTGGGAAGCTGCCCAGGTTCTGGGCGCCTGCCTCGGCGTTGGGCGGCCTGGATCCCCTAAGCCGCCTAGGACCTACCTAGTGCTTTTTGATACACTGATGGAGCTATTTTCATACATTTGGGGAAAAATCTAAGCCTTCTCTATCCTTGAAACTTCTCTTTCTTTTATGTCTCATCATTTTTAGTATATGTTGTCCCATCTTCTCCCATACTTGATTATATTTGGCTTTCATTGTCATCTTTACTGCTAAATAGGTCCACATGGTAAGTTTGTAATTCATAAAATATACTTGCAGCAGTTGGTATTGTGCATTTGTGTTTATAGAATGAAGTTGTTATATGCTTATAATGGGCATTGAATCAAATTCTCCGGTTAATTTTCTTGGGAGCGTAAGCTTCCTATGTTTTGCAATGAGCTTGCTTTTCCTTTTATGTATTGTATTGTTGATGCAGGTATATTAGTGTTGTGGCTTTAAATTAGGTTGACATGCTTGAGTTTAACATGCTCTACAGGAAAGGATATGACCTCCAAAATTGGAATGCCACCTTTAGATGTTTCTATTGCATTTCCTCAGGCAACATCAGCATCTGTCTTTCCTCCTTCCGGTAAGATTGTCCTTTAAGCCTTGAGCTATACTAGAGATGCATAATGTTTTGATTGATGTGTGTTATGCTTTCGTTCAATGAGAACATTTTTATTGGCATGCAAATTACTAGTTAGGAGCTATGTGCCCATGATATATCTGTATCTCACTCTGGTTGATGTTATCATTTAGTTGTGAGCGCTGGTTTTACTTGAATGTATGATGTGGTATGGTCATCTATAATTTGTATGTTGAAATTAGAAGTATTGACTACTTGAACTGCCCATGATGACAACTACCTAGGATCCTCAAGGGTCATCATGCCTGCAGAATCCTCAATTAACATTATATAGAAAATCAATAAGCATGTTAAATTTCTTACTTTTACATAAAACAGAAAATTAATCCATAAAAATGAGAAGGGGAGTGATTTCATGCAATGGTTGTATAGTAATATAATGAAATAATTTGCAAAAACCATGTTAGGGCATTTGTTTTACCCTAATTTTTAAGTATACACTCTTTTCATTCCAATGAACAATCACAAAGAAAGCAACATTTGAAAACACACCCTAGAGTGTTTTTTTAGCCCAATTAACATACGCCGTCCATTCTAGGAAGATGCTTAGATCTAGGCCTTAGAGGGATTTTTCCCCTTTTCAAACTTTTTAGATGGCTTTCTTATCATTAGATAAACAATGAACAATGTTAAAAAAGAAAAAAATGAGTTCCTCAAACCATAGATCTTGAAATTCACCAAATGGATGGTCTAGATTCATTGTTGGACTGCTCACTTTTGACCATATATAGGGTGCAATATGAATTATGTTCTTTTTGATATTGATTATTGGGATGAAGAGAGGGTGTGTGCAATTTTTTGAGTCTTACAAATGACACAAACATGGTTTTCTATAAGTGTGGTTTCATTATATTACAATTACATAGTGACATGAAATCACTCCCCAAATTAGAAATTTTCTAATTAACTATAAATTCCTAGGCTATTACTTCCTCAGTTGGTCTCTGCCTTTGACTCAACTGCACTTCTGGCATCCATTAGAAGACTCTGGTCTTTATCAGCATCTTCTTAGGCGCCTTATTTATCTCGCCATAACTTGACCTAATATCATTATGTTGTCACTCAAGTAAGCCAGTATATGCAAGCACCTCGTACTCCACATATAGATGCCATTAGGTGCATTTTGCTCTATCATAAGCTAGCTCCTAGGTGAGGAAATCTTATGATTGAGGGTCAAGTTCTCTCTTAGATTTGGTTGACTACTCCAATGTTGACTGGGCAGAATGTCCACTGATCATAGATCTACTCCTGGTTATTGCACATTCAATGGACATGGAATTGTAAGAAGCAAAATATTGTTGTGGGCCATACAGGGTAGTTTATACAATATATTTATAATATAGTATAAAGTCAAGCATTCCTCAAACACAAAAAAAGAAAAGAAAAAGTAAGCTGTTGTTACCTAGTCCTGTGCGGAAGCTGATTATTGCTTTATGGCATCCACCATCTGTGAGCTTATTTGGCTGTGCACACTAATTAGTGATATGGAAGTAGAATTGGGGTTCTCTATACCGATGTATTTTGACAATTGGGCTACTATTCAGATTGCCATTGATTGTGCATTTGATGTCAGTATCAGGCACATTGAGGTTGATGATCATTTTACCCGTGAAAAAGTGGTTACAATAGTCATCCATACACCTTATTTGAAAACTATGGATCCCCTAACTAATGTCTTTACAAAAGCTATTGGTGGAGGTCGTCTTCTATCTGTCATTGGCAAGTTGGGCGCGCTTGATAGTCATGCACCATTTGAGAGGGAGTGTAAGTGTGTGTATCTGTTTATGTATAGGATGCATCATGTATGTATTCATGTTATTATAATCTGGGACATACTTGTTAGGATCGGGAGTGGGGGATCATGAAATGCTAGAAGATCCCTTTGGTTGGAACCGCTGTCCATATAATGCAATATTTTAGAAGTCTAGATCCCCAAATGTCAGGCATCGGGATCCCAACCTTTTGGGGGATCTTGATCCCAACCTTTTGGGGATCTTGTTCCTGATCTTATATAATCTAGGACTATATATACTATTTAAAATAGGGATCACTTTATTTATAGCTAGCAAGCAATGCAGCTATATTAAAAATATAGTTGTGCTGTTAGCTGGCTAGAGAATAAGAAAATGATCAGTTTGGTTGTTTTGGTCTTTAAGGTTGGTCTTGGTCTTTAAGGTTGGTCTTAAGATCCCTAAAAATAAGATCGAGATCTCTAACAGTGGGGAGCGGGATCCCAAAATTTAAAAATCTATATCCCTTGACGATCCCTTTTCAAGAGCGCATAAGCGAGATTTCTAGTACGGGATCTTCGCCTATGTTGGGAAACCCCTGACAAGTATGGTATGGGACCCAAGTGTCCTTATGGACATATATGGGAATACATCAAGTGACTTTGGCTGGACCCATTTCATTCTCTGATTTTTCCATCTACTGCTCATCTCTTTCTTCCTGTACCCCTGTAAACCCTAATAGGGTCAGACATGTAGCATAGTGGGAAGCTCAAAAGATTAAGCAAAGTCATATTTTGCCCTAACAGAGCACTCTCCCCTTCCACCCTGTCTAATATGCTTCTGACCTTCTCCTTTATTTAATTTTTTTCCCAAGAAAAAAAACAAAAAAAAAGAAGAAAAAACTTTGTCTGGCTTTGGTTTCATGTCAATTCTTTTAGAGGTGGAATACTTTATATAAGGGCTCAACTTCACTAGCCATATTTAGCAAATTGTCATCAGTTTCTTTGAGATTCACCACTTATTCTTTAGTAAAAATTATCCTTTACACCTGACACCTCTTCAAATATAAACTTTAGGAAGCGGGATCAGTGCTTGCTCTCCTATATCAAATCCAACTACCTTAGCATTACGTATGAAATGGATGAGTGACATAGCACCTTCACTACCTCACGAAGAGATAATGATCATGATTGAATTTGACTGTTGATGAGGGGTTGCCCCGCTTAATCCCTTTAAGACTTCAAAGATGAAATCTAGGAGGATCATTAGTCACTCTACAAAACCCGCGCATCTTATGGCAAGCCCATCGAAAATTAATAGTGTCTTTGAAAACTTACATGTTCACATACTTTTCCCAACTCAACTGTGGAATTCAGGGTAATACATTTAAGGAAGATATGCTACATGCCAGTCGAATAGAGGAAAAGTAGTGTGGTACCTCTTTACAAGAACAAAAGAGACAAAATTGTACAAACTATCGAGGAATCAAGCTTATGAGCCATACTGTGAAGCTCTAGGAGAGAGTCATTGAACAACAACTAAGGCATGAAACGAGTGCATCTCAAAACCAATTTGGTTTTATGCTAGGAAGGTCAATAATTGAGGCTATGTTCCTACTTAAGCAGCTGACTGAGAAGTTTAGGGAGAAGGAAAAAGAACTC